ATGCATTCCAATGGGGAAATGCTTTTTGCTAGACAATGATTTCGCTAAACAGCGATTTCAGTGAAACGGATTATCATCATCTAGCGAGGCACCACTGTATAAGACAGAAATAATGGTTGTGTTGTGCACAGGGTGGCCAGTTAGGTCTCACCAGAGGGGAGACAGAGAGGGACACGGGACAATTCTTTATATGAGCAGTAGTTCTCCGACTGGGGTCCCCAGATGTTCTTGGACTCGCGCTCCCAGAAATCCTGGCCAGCACCGCAAGTGGTGAAAAGGCTTTTGGGAACTGCAGTCCAAGAACACCTGGGGACCCCAGTTGGAGAACTACAGCTTTATAGAACATGCTACTATGTCTGTAGCTGTAAATCTAGGCAGTCAGTAGTAATATTCAGTGTAGGTAAAGTAAAGTGTGTTGCTTATATATTACTCCAGAGCACTTAAAGCCCTTTCTGGAGAGTTTACAATTTGATTATGCAGGCTATACATCCCCACCCCCTGTGAGTGGTGTACTCAGTTTACCAACCTTGGAAGGATGAAAGGCTGAGTCAACCTTGGAGGGGGCTCCAAGGTTGGATCGAACTCAGGTTGTGAAGTCTTCACTGCAGTACTGCAGTTTAACCTCTGCACCACGAGGCAGTGTAGACTCTGAATATGATGAATATTTGGGACAGACTCACATCTGTGCACCTATGCAAAGTGCTGCCACATATCAGTTTCTCTGCAGAGCCAAACATCCCGTGCCTTTAATTTGTTATCTGATTTGTGACTGCTCTCAGTAGTTGCCCGTAACTAGCTTTGACATTCTACCCAGAGGTATCTTAGGATGAGGCTGCCTAGATAAAATTTCAAAAGTGAACACTTCAGTTTCATTCTCTTTAAAGCCATTTCTGGCTCAAATTCAAACTTGCCAAGCTGTTTACACACAAGGGCAATAATCCCTCCTAATAGGATTTCTCTCTTCGGGTTTGTACACCACGGCCATGACCCCTGCCGTGTAAATAAACTCTTCTTTCATATTTGCATAACGAGGCAATTTTAATGGGGGTAAAGACATTCCTTCTCAGAAAGTACAGGCTTCTCCCCCCCCCAAAAAAAAGAACCTGTTTCTCTTACATACAGCAAAATATTAACGTTAGTGAGCATATCATGTTCCTAAAGCTCAGGGAAAGAATTATTTAAAAAGGGCTACAACTCCACTCCCAAGCCAACTACACCAGAATTAGTGAGTATATCATGTTCAGAAAGCTCAGGGAAAGAATTATTTAACAAGGGCTACAACTCCACTCCTAAACCAACTATACCAGAGCGCAGAGTGCTGTCCTCTGAAGATGCCGGCCACAGAGACTGGCGAAAAGTTAGGAAGAACAACCTTCAGAACACGGCCAAAGAGCCCGAAAAACCCACAACAACCATTAGATCCCGGCCGTGAAAGCCTTCGCGAATACAAGGGCTACAACACTTGTAAGGCGAACTGTGAGCACCCCCAGAAAATAATTCACAACCCCCACATGGGCAAACACTGAGGTACAATTGTGCAGAGGCCTTGTGAAGTCTTCACCAGTTCAGCAACATCAATGGAAGTGTTTGTCTTGAAAGATGTTGATAATGATGATCGTCACACAGTACTTACTATAAGCAGTTGCAGATGATATTTAACAGATACTTAGTTTTTGGTTAAAACTTGTATCTGCTGTATTGTTGTTGTTGTTTACTCGTTAAGTCGTGTCCGACTCTTCATGACCCCATGGACCAGAGCACGCCAGGCCCTCCTTGTCTTCCACTTCCTTCCAGAGTTGGGTCAAAGTCATGTTGGTCGCTTCGATGACCCTATCCAGCCATCTCGTCCTCTGTCGTCCCCTATATCTGCTATATAATACTGGTCAATGTTTTTATAATTTTGACTGTGCCTGGTGTTTTTGAGTAATAACAATAATGGCATACACGCTATAGCTCTGCCCAAAGTAACTGAATCCAAGTTGCAGCAAAAGAATTCAGCTGAAGCAAAAACAAAACAAAACAAAAAACCGCATTTTCCAAAATTTATTTGGTGTTTAGAGTTGTCGGTCTAATCAGGAAAGGTCACTTGTGCTAAGAACTAAAGCTAAAATTTGTCTCATGAGCCTTTTCTCTCTCAGTTGGCAAGCAGGCTATAAAAGAGTGCTCCAGTAACTCTTTGACCCTTCCTTTCATTGAGCCTTTCTTATTAAGCGCATGATGCTTTCCAGAACTCCTTCTTCTAACATTTCTGGTTAAGGATGCGTCTCTCAGGAGCACAAGCTATTCAGCGTGAAGAAAACAGGAGCACAGCGAATGGAATACGGCCCTGCTGTTATGAGTCAGATCATTGGTCCGTCTCGTCTTCAGATCATCAAGATTGGAAATCCCTAGCTTTTATTTCCTGCTGACTCACAATCCAAGTCTAGCTCTGTTTATCTTCTGAAATGAGATGAGATGTGTTTAGGATCATAAAAGCCCTGGCGGCGGCTGGTTCTGTGACCCAGAGGCTTCAGCCACCTAAGCTTCAGTTCCCAGAGTTTGGATATCATCCAGGTTTTGTTTGTTGCTGCTACTAAAGATGGGCACGAACTTCTAGTTTTGGTGGTTTGTGCCAGTTCGTCCTTCGGATGAACGGGATTGGCCGTTCCCAGCCCCACCTCCTCCAGCAGGCGCCCACTCAGAGGCAGCACCCAAAGGGAGGCGGTGGCAGGGAAGCCGGGCTGCTGCCTCTGAGTGGCCGCCCTCCAGAGAAGGCGGGGCTGGGAACGGCCAAACCCCTATTCGTCCAAAGGATAAACCGGCACAAATCATCAAAAGTGGCGGTTCGTGCCCATCTCTAGTTGCTAGTATTGTATATCTGTTGCCAGGGGCGGAAAGTGAGGTGTTTGTGAGATTTATCCTACTACATGGACCAAAATACAATGTCTTGCTTCGGGCGCTACGCATCTGGGTTTCAGTGAGCATCTCCCATTTGACATTTTGCCTCATGTGGCAGCGTGCGTTGAACTGTCCTTAGTGGGGAAGAAAAAAAAGAAGGTCCTCTTGACATCTCGCACTGCCCATAAATTTGCCAATTTTTGTTACGTCACCTTGGCAGAGAAGGGGTACAATGTGCCGTTTTATTTTTCTGCTTCATGTTTCACCATTACTCTCATTTTTATTTTTTATGAGTGGCCTATAAAAGTATTGCCTATTCTTGCATTTGTATTTTGTAATAGCCACACGGCTCTTCCCCCCCCGCCCCCTTTATTTCAATCCTTTTACCAGGTGGTTGTGGTGTGTTTTCTATATTTGCGTGCTGTAAAAAAGGGTGGAGGAAGCCAGCTGCCTGCCTTGAGCACACAAAGTTGAGGGGCACAAAGGAAGAAAACTATATCAAGCCCACCACGTCATGAGCAAAACAGCGCATTTCCGTTGTTCCTTATCAGAATACGCTTCCCAGCCAGTGACAGGGACCAGCTCCTCTCTCTGTCATTGCTTTCTATGTATGGCAAGCAACCGCTGTGTAGAGAATATGTTCCAGCTTGTAGGGGGATGGGTTCACACAGGTAAACAAACGTCCTAATGTTCCAGATTGTAGGGAGCTCACCTGGCGCCAGAGAGTGACTGAATAGGGCTCATAAGTTCAAATTGAATAAAAGTGTATATTTTGCAGTTCACCACGGCCTGTTTCCTCAACTCTTCCGGTTAGCAACAGTTTGTTAAGATCCTTCACCATAAGTCATAGGCAGGCGGTTTCCGCCAACGTTCTTGATGGTCTGTTGATAAATAGATTTGAAAGTGCAAAAATATTTGTTTTGCTTAGTTTTTTTAAAAACTTTGTTCACATCCAGAAAGTGCAATTAACAGAATTTCTCCTCCCCCCCTTTGCAGGATAGTGGAAATATACAGCAGAAGATTACAGGGTAGGTGATCTCCAGCGATGGACAATGTCTTCAAATGAATATGTAAACATAGATATCCAGTGAATTTCCGTGGGGTACGGCAGAGCCAAGGGGGCATGTAAGGTTTGGAACAGCACTGCTGCAGAACCCTGGTGTTAAATCCATCCTTCCTGCACTAAATATGTTAAAGTAAAAAAAGGGGGGCATTTGGTTAAAGGGAAGGGTGTATAACATTTAACATCAATACCTTATATGGGAAGGATGCTGAGAGAGCATTAAAGGAAGAGACTGACAACTTTTTGTGCAGTGGTTAAACTGCAGTACAGTGGTGCCCCGCATAACAAGCGATTCGTTTAATGACGAATCTGCATAGCGATGTGTTTTTTGCGATCGCAAAAGCAATTGCATTGCGATGTTTGTAATGGTAAAACATTGCTTTGCGATGATCGGTAAGCGTTTCGCTTACCATTTTCGCATAGCGATGGGTTTTTTAACAGCTGATCGGCGGTTCCAAAATGGCCACCAGGTAAATAAAATGGCCGTCCACTGTGTTTTTGCCTGCATTCCTCGCTTACCAGGCAGCGAACATGGCGGCCGCATGGAGGATTTTCACAGAACGGTGAGTTTTTTGCCTATAGGAACGCATTAAACGTGTTTTAATGCATTCCTATGAGTTTCTTTGTTCCGCATAGCGACGAATCCGTATAGCAACGATTTTGGCTGCACGGATTATCGTCGCTATGCGGGGCACCACTGTACTGAGTTCAGTCCTCATTGGCTAACATAGCCAGCTTGAAGTGGACTGAGCTTTCCATCCTTCTGAGGTCAGTAAATTAAATGCCCAGTTTGCTGTCGGTGGGCAATGTGCAGCCTGTGTAATTCAATTGTAAACTGCCCAGAGAGTGCTTTAAGCGGTATTGGACAGTATATAAGCAGCCGCTTGTACTTTGCATTGTGTCAACACCTGTCCCACCCCTGGGGAAACCCCTTCTTGCCCCCTCCATTGCTTGGAGTCTCCGAGAAAGGTCATTTGACGGTAGCTTTCACTCTTCCTCCACTATCTGGGGCAATAAAATATTGCCCAAGAACATGCGGAAAAGAAGTGCTAGTTTTGGTTGTTGTGGGTTTTTCGGGCTCTTTGGCCGTGTTCTGAAGGTTGTTCCTCCTAAGAATTTCGCCAGTCTCTGTGGGGCCAGCATCTTCAGAGGACAGGAGTCAGAACTCTTGTCTGTGTTCTCATCTATCCCACAAATTGCACCAGAAAAATGCTTGTTTTGTTCAACCCTTCCTCTGAGGAGTCAGTGGAAAGGTCCCCAGAGTTTGGAATGTTAATGTTTGAAAAAGCCAGGCTGGTTGGGGGATTCTGTTTGCTGTAATTCAAACAGCATTCACTTTCCCAGGTCTGGCATTTCTCCTACAGGTAAGAAGCCCAGACAATCGATGATTACTTTTCTGCCAAAAGCTGGTTTCATTGGCTGTGGTGTAGACCCTGCTCTTGGTGAAAGATTCTGAGTGCGCCCAACCCCTCGGCTCCCGGCTATGAAAGCCTTTGAGAATTCAAGTGCTTGTTTTGTTCAACTCTTCCTCTGAGGAGTGAGTGGAAAGGTCCCCAGAGTGTGGAATGTTAATGTTTGAAAAAGCCAGGCTGGTTGGGGGATTCTGTTTGCTGTAATTCAAACAGCATTCACTTTCCCAGGTCTGGCATTTCTCCTACAGGTAAGAAGCCCAGACAATCGATGATTACTTTTCTGCCAAAAGCTGGTTTCATTGGCTGTGGTGTAGACCCTGCTCTTGGTGAAAGATTCTGAGTGCGCCCAACCCCTCAAAGAACTTTTCCAGACTCTTCCCTCGCAGCACATTTTTGACCAGGGTTTAGCCTCCCTCTTGGAAAAGGGGTGACCGCTGCCCTCCTACAGCCCTCGGGATGCCCTGAATGGGTCTTTGTGATGCCATGCCATAATCGTTTACCAAATCCAGAAGGGATTTGTCACGGGCCACCGTCCATACCTCCCCATTCATTTTTCTAAAGTGTGGTGGCTTTTCCAGATTTTAAAAAAAGTTAGAAAAAAGGAGGTGTGGATGCCACATGACACCCCCCCTTGTCGTGCTTGTGTGGACGTGGGCTGTGGAAAACCTGCAGGACTTCTGCGTGGGGACAGGGCGGCTGGGCCTTAAAGGCAGAAACCTTTCCGTACCACCCACCCGCTGATCTGTACAGAGTGGCAGACCGACAGCCCATATTTATTTATTTATTTATTTATTTATTGGACTTATATACCCAGAGTGGCAGACCGAGTGCCCAGATCATCGGTGGGGGATAATATTTCCATATTTTGAGAGTGCCGTGCCCAATTCCCAATTTTTCTCTTTTTAAAAAAAGCATTGTTGGACACTGAAAACTGCAGGGAATCTTTTTGCATTGGAAGAAAAAAGTTTGAAGCCATTGAAGATGATGGGGAGGGATTTGAAGGAATGAGTTTGATCCTTCAAGGTCTGGGGATGGGCGTCAGGTGCCCTGAGACCTCTGGAAAGGTGCAAAAGGGAGACCATTTTGAATGGTTTTTTTCTTGTCTCTTCTGTTTCCTTCTGGATCGGCTAGAATTTGGGTCCACTGGTGGCCACAGAGTGGGTTCAAATATCTTCTGACGGAGAGGACTGGCACATATCTTGAAGTAACCAGGTTCATTCCCCTCTTTTCCTTCTGCAGTTCAGGAGCGCCTCACCAAACAAATCGCCATAGCCATCACAGAAGCCCTGAAGCCCGCTGGGGTTGGTGTCGTCGTGGAAGCCACGTAAGTTCGCCTGAGCTTTACCGAGTTTCCAAATGAGGAGGGAGTAGTAGCCGTTGGTACCATAAAATCAACATGAAAACAGGAAGTATTGTGGTACCTAGTTCGGTGCAGGATTTCATGGATTACAACCCACTTCCTCAGGCACATAAGAGCACAATATTGAGCCAGAGTCTTGTATACAAATTGCACGCCTCTGTGGAATAAGGGCGAGGAACAAATGATGGGAGTTGTAGACAGCAAGTAAGATGAACATTAAACGTGATGACCGCATTATAATTGGGAGGAAAGACTGAAAGAACGGGGCATGTTCAGCCTCAAGAAAAGAAGACAGAGGGGTGATATAACATTTTCCAAATACTTGAAAGGCTGTCCTACAGAGGAGGGGCAAGATCTGTTCTTGATCATCCCCGAGTACAGGACACACAACAATGGGCTGAAGTGACAGGCAGCCAGATTTCAGCTGAATGGCAGGAAAAACTTCCTGTTTGTTAGAGCAGTATGACAATGGAACCCATCAAATGAATGGCAGGAAAAACTTCCTGACTGTTAGAGCAGTATGACAATGGAACCCATGACCTTGAGAGGGGTTGAGCGCTCCAACCCTGGAGGCATTTCAAGAGGAACTTAGACAAACAGCTGGCAGGTCTCCTTTGATTTGCATTCCTGCATGGAGCAGCAGGTTGGACTTGATGGCCTTAGAGGCCCCTTCCAACTTCATGATTCTAGGATTCTGTGATTTGTTTCCACCAAACCGTTCTCATTCTGTTAAACCCTGGATCTTTAAATGCCAAATTCATTCATTTATTTTATTGTTTCTTTCCAATCAGCCTGTTCTCTATCATCGCAAAGCGATTTTCCCCCATAGGGAACATCGCAATGCGATTGCAAAATCTTCATAGCTATGCGGATTCATCGTTGAACAGGGCACCCGTTAAGCGAGGCACCACTGTATTGCATTTGCAAGTTTATTTTCCTGTATTATGTTTCTGGCAAATAGATAAGATTTAAACTCCAGGAATTGGTTATTTATATCTCAGGCCGGAAGGAATACTATCTTCCAAATATCTTTGTTCGGCCTTGAAATTGGGCTGTTCGGCTGGATTATGGCATTAGAATTTACCTGATGCCTGAAATCCAATTTCACTCTGTTTTCCGAGTGTTTTTCAGACGGGCAGCCGAGTCCCCCCCCCCCGGCTTAAATAACTTGTTATTAGATAAGTTATTTAACTTTAATAACTTTTAAAACTGTTGTTTATATTTAACGGAGGCTTCCTTCCCTGCTTTTTTTCTCCCACAGGCACATGTGCATGGTCATGCGAGGGGTTCAGAAAATGAACAGTAAAACTGTAACCAGCACAATGCTCGGAGTATTTCGGGAAGACCCAAAGACGCGGGAAGAGTTTTTGACGCTCATCCGCAGCTGAACGGTGCCATCCTTTCAGGAATTCCCCTTCGGACCCGTCTTGTGTTGCGTTCTTTCCACTGCCTCTTCTCCGTCGTCTCCCTTTTCAACGTATCTTATCACTTGAAGTTTTCTGTTTAATTCCAATCAGAGGTTCTTTCTAGTGAGTCCCACTTATTCCCTCATACGGTCTCTTACATCAAGGGTTCGTCACAGTCCTGGAAATGTTTTCTTGTTCTCTGTTCATTGATTATTTCAAGGCGGATTCTCAGTCAGAGTGGGTGCGGTTGGTTGGTTTTGGTTTGGTAAGAATGGAATAGAATTTTATAAACAGTGCTTTTTGGGGTCATTTAAAACACGTTGAGTAAGTGTTCCTGCTGAGTGTCTGTGAGAGAGGGCGGGGGTTCCTCTTTCTTTCTAACTTGCCCTTTCTTCTCAAGCCAAAAAACCAAGGATTGGGCAGCTTCACCTCTGAGAGGAATAAGGAGGTAATAAAACATAATTGCTGCACTGTGTTACACTGCCCGGTTGAAGCATCTCAGTGTTGAACTCGAAAATACCTGGAGGACCAGAGGTTGAGAACTCCTGTATTAGAACATAATCCGAGAACCTTTATTGGATTCATTGTCTCACCTCCTTTTTAATCCTGGGAATCGTCTGAAGAAAGAGGCTGAATTCTCAGTGGCAGAAGCTTGACTCCCCTGCTTGACGATTCAGAACTATAAGCCGTGGCTGGGAACGAAGAGGCCCCTTTGCCAAGAAAAAATTTCATTAGGTGCTCCCCGATTCTAAGAGAGGAGATATTTTGAGGACAGAGTCCCATAGCCCGTCTTCTCTTGCCTATTGAGACCGCTGGAGATTCATGCATTCTCTGTGATGTTGGTGCATCTAAACACAGGGTCTGCTGACCCTTATCCAGTCAACAACCGGTCCCCAGGAAGTGTCTTATACAGCCCTGGTCATCATGCTCCCCTCTAGTTAAAGCTGATTAAGAACTCTCCTTTGTCTGCTCCCCCTACCACCACCCTGAACAATAGGTTTCAGATAACCTGTCCTTAGAAATAAGAATGTGTGAAGGGATGATTGTGTGTGATTATCACATCAGCAGCTTTTCTCAAGTCCTGCACACTGTGAACTTGCTTGCTTGTGTGAATTCAAGACTAGTGGCCAGGACCCCCCAGTTTGCAAGTCTTGTTTTCTTGGACCTGAAAATCTGCTGGAATCGTGTCTCTGAAACACTAATATGATTTCAGCTCTAATGAAAGGTGACCTGCAATACCTAGTTTGGCCCTCTGATCACCTGCAAGCTTCTTACAGCCATTTAAGTCCGGTCCCTTAACAGGAAAAGTTTCATGTTTTTTGTGCTGTAATGTTCTCACCATCTACCCGTCCTCAGCCTAACGAAACAATGGTTATGAGATATGTTAACACTCTCTGTTGCTTTGAATAGAAATGGGTGGCTATTATGTAGGCAGAAACAGATGCAGCATGTTCTGGACAGTAGGTACTTTATCCCTACTACCTCTACTGCTCCCACCATGCTCAGGGACCGAATGCTAGCATCACATATGCTGGTACAGTAGGACCCCTGTGTCCGTGGGTGATTGGTTCCAAGGTGGTCCTGAACATTGTGGATCATAGCAAATGCTATTTTATAGCAAACCTTATACATAGCATGGTCTCTGTGTCCCTCTAGTGGCCAGGACTGATAACTTCAGTTTATACATAGCATGGTCTCTGTCTCCCTCTAGTGGCCAGGACTGATAACTTCATCTTTAGAAATATATATTTCTAGGATTTTTCTTTTTTTTAAATATTTTCAGACTTTGGAGAAGTCATTCAGTGAATACAGGGGTCCTGCTATATCTCTTCCTGCTTCCCATGGGACAGAATGAGGAGGGAATGGGGCAAGGCTGGGTCGCTTGTAAGAAAGAGATGTACAGCATCGTATGAGGACAAATTGCTTGTGATTGAATTTGTATATATTTTAGTATAAGAATAAGGAAGAGACCACAGCTGCCGAAATACCTTGACTGGGTTTGGTTATGTGACCACGGTGGGGGGCACCCCTTAATTCTCTCCTTCAGTCAGCAGAGCTTCTTGGGCCCTCTGTGGGTGGAGGAACCAAGCCCACCCAGCTATGAAAAAAAAGCCAGGCGGATGCCACTGTGCCATTTGATCCCAGACAAATACGACTGGAGGCTTCACCGATGGAAGTGCAGAAAAGAACCCTTTCGAATCCAGTCTTTTCTAGACATCGCTTCCGCCTAATACTTCTTTGGTGCCTTCTAAATTCCATAGCCCGCAACCAGAGATTTGAAGCATTGCTTCTTTGGACTATAATTCCCAACCAACTCTTGTTGCCGTGCTTGTTGGGGGATTCTGGGAGCTGTAGTCCAAATAAAAACAGTTTCCGAACTCTGTCTAAGACTAGGGAGTTTGCATAATTGAGAAAGCTACACGGTGTGCTGAAACTCTTCTCCCTCCAGGAGATTCTGCTGGGTCTCCTCTTTAGCCTATGAGAGTCTCCCAGCCATGGGCCAGCTTTTAAGCCACCCTTCCTTCTTGTTGAGGTGGTCACAAAGCTGGATCTGGAACCAAGTCTTTCCTGGGCCTTTCTTGTTGCTACAAGGCAGGAGAACCCAGCTTGCAGTGAAGTAATTTCACTGGCCTGGATGCTCCAAGCCATACTTCCTCCCTCCCTCCCTCTCTGTGTAAGTGTGTGTCAGCCCTAGAGTAGGTGGGGGCAAAGATCTACCTTGTGGGATCTACTCTTCCTCCCCTGTCTGCACACACTTTACACTAGGAATAAAGCTTGGAAGAAATGCCTGTTTTGCTCTACAATGCCAGGAAGCATTTCTATACCCTTTAGTTCACCAGCCAGAGCCTGCTGTCAAAGATGCTGCTTTAGATTTTTTTTTAAAAATCGGAGCCCAAGAGTTTTTTCCTGACCGCTAGAACTGACGGGAGCTCACGTGGCTTTCCTGCGAAGTTCCATTCCAGGTTTTCACAGACTTTTTTCGTTAGAATGGTGTAATTTAAGCAAGGCATTGTATTAGGGATGTTCTAGAACAACTGGGAGTCGGGGGTTCTCGCTCATCTCTGTGCCCAACCACGTAGGCCCTGGAAGACTCGGTACTCGCAGCCTCTTGATGTGGCCCCTTTATTGGGTGGAAATTAGCTGATATATTTATTCATTGCACTGTGGTGCTTCTGAAAGACAGTTAGTTCTCTTGGCCCAGCCGTGGCCAAGCTCTGCTTTCGCAAACAACGTGTTTTATTGGTCGAGACCAACGTAAATTGTGTTTTTGTGTTTTTTTTTGCTCTGCTTGAGAAGCGACTTATTGCCGCTGACCTAAATAATTGTACTCTGAGTGGAAAGCATATTAAAGAGTTTTATAACCTAGTTAATTGGAGAAAGGTGGCACGCTAATTGGAACAAAACGGTGGATCAGAGACTCAAGCTTCGAGGCCATTTGTCAAGCGCAGCTTTTACTAGGGCCTGGAGAGCTTAACTCAATAAAGGATCACGCTCCCGTTCCTACCGGGTCCCTTGAGGTGATATTGACAAGCAGCTGATATTTGGGACCCAGCTACCAAAGAGGGGAAGCGTAGCCCTCTTGAAGCTTGGCTGGTGGGCCTTCTGAAACCATGCCGTTGGCTGCTGAAGAAAGCAGGATGCTGGAGATTTGGGCGGCATTTGGAAACAATAGCATTCCTGACTACAAATCCCATGCCATCTGGGGGACTATGGGTGTTGTAATCTCAAAAAAAGAGCAAATTTCCAGAGCTCTGCCTTTGAGCATGATCTAACATGCCTTTTCCTGTATGAACCACTCACAGGACACCTGACACAGGTGTGTAAGGCTGTTAAAGTACCTTTGCTTGCCCCTCCCCCGTTTACTATCAAGCTCTTCTCCTGGCAGAAGGGGAGTGGAGCAATGCGTGAGGGTTTCTCGTTTTATTCCCTAAGAGCTCGGCTCAGGTTGACATCCCAAAAGCTTCCCAGTAAGCTAAGTAGGGGTTGGAATCCAGCAACCCATATCTGGGCTGAACGCTCTTAAGCATGGTTAAATCCTGCAGTGGTTTTGCAATTCATATTAATATACAGTGGTGCCTCGCATAATGAGCGCACCGTTTAACGACTCCGCATAGCGATCTGTTTTTTTTGGATCGCTAATGTGATTGCATTGCGATGTTTTAATAGCCTAAACATCGCATTGCGATGATCGGTAAGCGTTTCGCTTACCGATCTTCGGATTGCGATGTTTGCGGAACAGCTGATTGGCGGTTCCAAAATGGCCCCCGGGTGCCCAAAATGGCCACCGCAACCATTTTCGCGCGATTTCCTCGCTTACTGAGGCAGCGAAAATGGTGGCGCTATGGAGGATTTTCGCATAACGGTGAGTTTCCGCCCCATAGGAACGCATTAAACATTTTATGCATTTCTGTGGGGTCCCCCCCCCACATTGCGATGTTTCCGGATAGCGGCTATTAATCTGGAACGGATTAACGTCGCTATGCGGGTCACCACTGTAATCATAGAATAAATGAGTTGGAAGGTACCTATAAGGCCATTGAGGACAACCCCCTGCTCAATTCTACTTTTAAAAAGCCCTAAAGCATTTCAGATGGCATTTGGCAAGGATAAAAGAGAGAGCGGAGGGCTGTTGAGATTTCCCCCCCGTATTTCTGTTTTCTTGAACCTGAAAGAAAGAATAGAGGCGACCAGCAAAATTTCTTGAGGACAAAGGTGGTTGGTTGATTCATACGTGATGCCAGCTTTGCAATTAAGAGTTGACTGTACGTCTTTTTTCTCTATGGATGTAAGTTCCTTCTAAGGCTCTGAGCAATCAGACCCGTGAGCAAAAAAAACTTGGGTTTACCTTCTCTTGACCAAACAAAAGCAAGTGAGTTATGTCAAAGCTCTGTGCCTGAATCATCCAACTGAAAATTAAGCCGGTTTCCCTTCCATCGGCGAAACAAAAGAAAAAGTTGTAACACTTGGAGGTGAAGAAAGCTTGTGCTAGGAGAAGCATATCCTATTTTTAAGGGAGCACCTTTTCTAGTGATGTGTTAGCCGCATTGTCTAGATTGTAGTGCTCCACCCAATGGCGCCTTTTTCTTTTGTTTCACCATGCAGCCCTTCCGACATACCTCTTCAGTGGTACTTGGGTGCAGGCAACTTTTCCTGTGCCAACTTCCATAGAAGTGAATGAGAACAGGAAGGATCTTGAGCCGTTTCCATTCCTTTTTCATGGAACTTGAGCAAAAGGGGGTTTCCTGTGGTTTGTTTCCTTCATTTGTCTTAGCACTTGTTAAAATAATGTGGTATGGCTTCGTAAATAACATTATTTATTATTATTTTGTGAACACGCTGTAACTTAAAACTTCAATGCCATGTTTCTGTATATACATATGTAAACTATACAAAGTCTATCAATGTGCTCTCCCCTGTAAAACTCTGTTCTGTTTAAAGAATTAAAATACAGCATTGGGCATTTTTGGAGACTGTTTTTCTGTATAGTTTATGAGCTCAAGGGGTGGTGCAATTGATGGTATAATTTTTATACCCATTTCTTTGATTTTGGAAGGTGGACTGACCGTTCTTTATTGCTTTTTAGCTGGGTGGATTTGATTTAAACAGAATGACTGGTTTTAAATCAGATTGATTTCATCATGATTTAAATCAGTTTAAATGTTTAAAAAATGGTGGCTTTTTTGATGATTTAAATGTTAAAAATCATTTTTAAGGATTTAGATCATGATTTAAATCAATTTGGTTTTTAAAAACATCATTGATTTTTATCCTCCCTGCTTCTTAGGCACACAAAGTATGTTCTATGATAATGTTCCTTTCTCTTCCTGCTATATGCAATGCACTGCCTTCTTCTGATTCAATGCATTATTTTTCCTCGTGCCATGTGTGAGGTTATACATGGACGAGACAGAATTTTAATCTTCTCAAAAAACCAAACCACCATATTTTTTAATTTGTATGAAATGTAGAAAACCTCAAGAAGAGGGAATAACAACTCAAAGTGTTCCAAAAAGCAGCAAAAATAAAACAAAATTAAAAACAAAGGCCTGCGTCACTATTCGGTTGTTCAAACAGCGCCGTGGCCTCTAATGCTCTTGAAATTACCCCCTTTCTC